TCAAATCCCAAATCTAACCCCAAATCTACTCAACCTTGAAATTAAAATGTCATTGTAGAAATATTTGTAATGTCACATTATTAGATGGATTTCAAATACAATATCATCCTGAAAGAATTTTGACTATAAATCATAAAAGTCAAGATTATTTTTCTGGCATATAAGTTACTCAAACCATGTCAGCTCAACCATAAGTTTACTCAAACCATGTCAGCTCAACCACAAGTCTACTCAAACCATGTCAGCTCAACCACAAGTCTACTCAAACCATGTCAGCTCAACCACAAGTCTACTCAAACCATGTCAGCTCAACCACAAGTCTACTCAAACCATGTCAGCTCAACCACAAGTCTACTCAAACCATGTCAGCTCAACCACAAGTCTACTCAAACCATGTCAGCTCAACCACAAGTCTACTCAAACCATGTCAGCTCAACCACAAGTCTACTCAAACCATGTCAGCTCAACCACAAGTCTACTCAACCATGTCATCTCAAATTTATGAAGATTAACCTAATAATTATGATACTATCATCAATCATATATAATATTGCCTCGCAAACCATAGGGCATTAAATAGATTTCCTATGTAAAATACTCAACTCATTTTGAATATTCGTTTAGGTTATATTCTGCATTCTTCGGAAGAGCTTTTTCTCATATAAATACCCGCAGTAGATGAACAGTCTGTCATGTTATTACAATGTAAAACAGTTATATATATTTATTGGTATTGACACACTTTGTTTTAACATAAACAATATGCTGAATGAGTTCTTAATTATGCATTGTTATTTGTATTATGGTTTTCGAAGCTAGAAAATGATTTTAATGGGTCATTATATAATGTATAGAAATATTCTAAGAGACTTTGAGATCTTGTATGATATTATATTTTGCAATAAACAGAGACAGAGAAATCAGTTTCAAGAATGTTATTGCGTCTGTAAATCCACCAGGTATAGAAAACATGATTTATCAATATGTTACTATCATATTAGGGCTTAAATAATTTTCCCTTATGTAAATAAAATGGAGTCTATGAATGAGGCGCTGTTTTGCTATCTCTCTCAGCTCAATTGAAGCTTACAACCCCGTATCTTTTTCAAGCTATGAAATCTCTTGTTGTTGTCATCGTATATCATATTTTGGATCATTTCACATTGGCAATTTTTTTTCCCAAGTTAGTTTTCATAATATGCACCATAAATATGATGTTTCGTATGATATATGGTGTTTGAGGTTAAATTGTAATTACAGTCTGAGATTTTTTCATAAGTTTGTTGTTCAGTCGAGTACATTATTTCTGAACTACTCTCTAAAGACTCATCCATCTTGCAGCAATTTTATATAATGTTTATTTTAGATTAAACGATGAGTTTTTTGGCATTTTATTGAAAATGTAAGGTTAGCATAACTGCATGGTATGTATTGGGAATTAGAAGTGCTCCATTTGTCTGGCAGTTTGACATTCCCCTTTTAGCAATTAAACTCTTACATCAACATCTCTGAAGCCAGATTTAGATTCAGATTTAATATGGGTCCCAAATTTTTAACCATTACCATTGTTGTCTATCCATTTAACAGTAAATATAAATTCCATTTTGATGAATGAAACCATTGAATATTTGAAAGCAATGTTCAAATGTTTCGGATCCTTTGACATAGTGAGAAATAAAATGATATGACTTAGTGAAGAATAAAATTTAAATGTGATCAGAAGAGTATTCCATTGGCAAATCAAGTTTCGGGAAATTACGAAGTGATGAAATATACAAAGCTGACTCTCAATGGAAGATCATGTGTCAATTGTGTGTCTCGTATTGCACTATTTAATCCACTCACTTTTTGTTCTGAAAGGCATAGTAACTTCTCAACCTTTTACTATAGCTACAGAACTCATTGCCTGTTTATCTTTTTAATCTTTATTTTTTAGGATTTGTAAGTTGTAACACGTTGTTACGTATTTGTGTGTGCTTTTTATTTGAAGCTTCTAGCTCAATTATTAAGGAATTTACATGATTTTTCTAAAATTCAAAACAATTTTTTTATAACTCAGGGATGAAACTCCTAAGAGTTCTGAGCTGTAAGGGAACACAGAACACGTCAGCTGATGATAAATATAAAATCCAGCTCCCTTGAAATAATGATATTTATCATAGGCCCCAGTCTCCAGATATAATATGAATGGCTGTTTTGCTTGTAAAATATAATCTCAGTTGTAAGGGACCAGCTGGCAAAAAATGGGTAAACATTGATAAATGATCTTCCCCTTAATCTGATTAGGTGTCGTTGTACAAAAATTTAACTTTTCTAGAGTACTATAGTAAAGGTTAATTTCATTATGCTCAAAATGAGTCTTGGCCTATTGTTGTAAAGTGAGCTTTTTCTTAATGAGAATTCTATGAAGCAAAGCCTTAGATATTAAACTAATGTCTGTTTAGTAATCTTGCATTTAATGAAGAGCTGTTTTTCTTCATGTTTTGGGCAGGGTTTTCAATTGTATTGTTAATAGATCTCCATTTGCCAAAATTGGCAACATTTCAATTCCCATGAACATGACCGTGGTAAGTGATACATCATAAATGATCCTAAACAGAATCAACCCAGGAATTACTAAGCTATATTTAGGTATTTTCTTCTCCAATTAACTTCTTTCTTTAAGAACTGTTATGCACGCAATGTATGTTGTTATGCATTCAATGTTAGCTATGGTATCACATGTTTGTGAGTTACTTTCTCAGATGTTACATTCATATAGATTTATCATTAACAGTTATCATATCACATTGTCTTTAAAAACACAATGAGATTTCAATGGAGATAAATGGAGTAAATGAAAGAGTAACATTTGAAATAGAGTAGTAACGGCATGTATGATTACTGAGGAGCAAAACCACAGTGTTTGTGTTTTATTGAATTCCTTCTTAGCTATCCAATACATATCTACCACACAATTACATCTTCCTGGAAGACTATAATAAAAAATTGTCTTTATTCTTTAAATATCAGTTAGACTCATCATTAGAAAGATCCATACAATGGTTACCGCAACACCATTTATTATCCCGTTTTATTGTATGACGTAAAATGTTTATTCATTTATTCGTAACTTTCTACCTGCCGGATCTATTTGGAAAATCATTCTTAGAAGTTACCAATTTTTCTTTCTCATTAAACATTAACAATGTCGCTATGACTTTATTTTGATGAGCTTGTTCTTGGTATTCTCACGATTTTTAAGCATTCTACTCAGTAGACAGTTGTAAATAAATAATGCCATCATGATTTTCACAAAATATTGGCTCCCTTATTTTGTGGTATTTGAATAAATAAAAAAATTTGAAGTTTGAATTTTTACTACTTGCTTAATTTTCTTCCCAGCATATTTTACTATATTTTTGCTTTTTTCCACTGTCATGAAACAGTTCCAATGGCATGTTGCCATAGATACGTACTAAATCCATACGATAAATCTATACATTGCATTAGTTTATCACAAACTCCATACGAATTATAAGAAAGTCGATTTGAATTTTCATGAAAAACAAGGTTATTTAGTATTTTTTCTAAGTTACACAAAAATATGCCAAGTTTTACAACCATCAATATTCTGAAATTGTCAAATTTGCCACCAAATTTAACCAGTTTGCAATAAGACTTATTGAAGGATTTTGTTATAGTTGCATTGAGCCGTAGCGGAGAAATAGTTATATTTAAAAGCTTATGGTTTACTTAATGGTGCCATGCACCTAGATAATAGATATTGCATTTTATAATTTCTAGATTTGTTACTGTCATTCTGATGATTGTATGGAGGTAGGACAATATATAGATCTTGTAGGGATATGGGCCTGGATAAGACTTGAATGAATGCAGAGATTATACAGAATTAGAAAATAGAATCTCAAGTTCAATGGTAAATAAGGAGGATTTGAAATGCACTATCAGTTTTGAATAGCATTTTCCAATAATAGTTTTATATTTCAGATGCTTTTGTATATAGGATAATGAAAAACATATTTCTAACTCAACTTAAACAAATTTCCTTTCTAATACTAGCTAGAGAGGATCTGGAATATTGATGTAAAGCTTTGCGTTCATGTTAATTGATAACTGTAACTTCTGAGTACCCCAAGTCTACAAGTGCCATAGGGGAATGATCAAAAAGTATCGAAAAACAAAGGTAGGAAAAGAAATTGAGAAAAAAGTACAACCAATAATATTGAAATAAGCTCCAATATCAAAAACAAGCGTCCAACTAAAAAAGAAACAGTGGCTATTAAGTTGCAGAAGTTTGCAAATTCTTCAAAATGAATGAAGTGTAAAATTAACTTAAATCTTAAAAACTGTTTTGATATAAAATTAAGTTTGAACACTTTATGAACTTTAAGTTTTTAGAAACAGGCAATGAATGATGTAAGTCTAAAATAATCTGAAGTAGCTTGATATCGCTAATTCTGTACATGTATATGATATTATATTTAATTGCTACACCTGTTTTGAAATCAAATATTGAATACAATGTAGCGCATTTCATGTTACATTGACATTTGATTGTTCGCAAATGTTCATTATTGATAATAATTTTATGGCTGTTTTATGGCATGTTTAACCTTAAATGGATTTACAAAACATTTTTCAAATTAATGCCATATACCATCATTGATTATATTTCAACTTTTATTGGTGACACATTGAAATACAATCCACTTATCAGTATAAAAAAATCAAGAACACAACTTTTTAATGACAGAATTTACAATAAAATAAACACTGTGTTTTAATTTTTTGATCTGAAGTTATAGTAATTATTACTTATCTTAATAATATTGTTAATCTGTATGCCATTTTTATGTGGCAATATTATTCACGTCCCATGCATGGCTGAATTTATGTACTCACAGGGCTTAAAATGTCATTGTGTTAAATCAAAAAAACATTCATCAAACTGATAAACGAAAGTTAATTATTTTCCCATTTATCAAAGCGTCACTTACATGATGTTTTTTGAGTCCTGCAGGTTTCCAAAAATTCCAAATCACATTTGTATAATATTGTGTATAGTTGTAAAAGTGAACACTGTCTCACATTTCTCTCCTCGCCTGTCTGTCTCTCTCTCTGTCTATCTATTGATTACAAGCTAACCGCTGCTCCTTTATATAGCGCTGTAGATTTCTCAATCCCTATATCTCAATCAATTAATCCTAAACATAATGCTGCCACTGTGTGACTGTAGTAAATATGACTAATAGGGCTACTCTCTTGTACAATCGTCAGACTCCCTGAATTATCCTTAGGATCAGATGGTTTGCAGTAGATTATTATTTTTGATAATTGAGGATAAAGTATCCTAATATGATTTAGGGTAAAATGTCCATCATACTTTGAATTATCATAATGGTGTTAAAGGTAAATTATCCCTAAGATTAATTAGGGTAAATAATCTGTAAGATGATTGGAGGTTGTTGTTTTATTTACCAGGTCATTTTGCACCATTCCTCAAGGCTCTGCTCTATGTGTCTTATCTGAATCTAACATAATTGATCAATAAATATTATTTAAATGAAAAAGTTAAACAATTCCTATGTAAAAGAGTGTATGTGATGAGGGTATGGCAGATTGAATAAAGATTAAGAAGTTCGGTAGGGATATAGTGAAGCCCTCCGTCTGTCTGTCTGTCTGTCTGTCTGTCTGTCTGTCTGTCTGTCTGTCTGTCTGTCTGTCTGTCTGTCTGTCTGTCTGTCTGTCTGTCAATCAGTCAGTCAGTCGGTCAGTCAGTCCATCCGTCTGTCCATCCAGAAGATAACTCGAATACTAGTAAACAGATTTTCTCCATATTTGATAGAAAGATGTATATTGGTAAATAGTTTTACACAAAAAAATGTTTTCAAGATGGCCGCCACGTTAAAAATGGTGAGAATTTTTGCACAAAATTCTTATGTTTTTCATTTTAAACCAAAATAATAAATATTATTATTATTTGAAATTTTGGTAGTATATTCACTTTCTTTCATATTCAGAGTAGATCACAATTATGGTATTGTTTTTTTGATTTGTGCCTCAGAAAATATAAAATGGCTGTGCCTAGAGCAGGAATGATACTCCAGTGATCTCAAATATTTATTGAATGGAAGACTAGATGGTAAATATTACATTTTGACTGAACAGATTCATGATTTATACAGTGTTCGTTAGGATTCTCCACTCCGTGGAGTTGCCATTTTCTAGTTCATTTTAAGAATTCAGAAAATCCTTCAATTATTTGTTGCTATGATTTATTGACATAACAGAAATAGACAAGATACTTTCCCATGGTTGGGTTATTGGGACTGTTTGCAATTAGCTGGTTCAGTTAATTTGCTGGGATCATTCTACTATATTTAGTACATGTATATATTCAACCCAGATATGTAGATTGCCAATTTAAAGTATTAGTAAGAGATAATATATCGCCTTGCATTCTAAGGTATGAAAATCAAGGTGGTTAGCAGGTTAGAATAAATAGTTTAAAACAAGGGCACTGTAACTTACTTTTTAACAAAAATAGGTAATTTCAGTGTTGATTTTGAGTCTCTAAGCAATTGGTTTAAAATTTGAGTCTACAGGAAAAATTATCGTTAAATTAATGATTGCTAAATATACATTTTTTCTTTGAAAAACAAAATGTAGTTATCTTTATTTAACATAATAGATAATTATGCAATCAATTTACACATTTCAGACACTCTATTTACATGTATAGAGTAATTAATTCAATCATGTCTATGATAAGTTACAGGAATCCAGTCTCCTCATCTATCATTGTTGATAATTGACTCTATAATTATCCCATCGAACAAAGTGTAGAGGGATAAAAGGAACACCCCCGTCCATCTGTCCGTCCTATGTACGTACGACGTACATACGTCCTTCCGTCCATCTGGGCAGTAACTCAAATACCATTCGCCTGATTTTGTTCATATTATGTACACATATACCCTATGGAAGTTTTGCTCGAAAGCCAATTTTCAAAATGGCCGCTCATTATAAATAATGGCCATTTTAGTGCCGATTTTACAGTAATTTAGGTACAATATGTAAAACTGTAATGATTACAGTTATAACTTTTATGATTTTTGCTGTAACTTGAAAAGTAGTGGAGTGATCTTGTTCATATTTGGTATGTGAATACTCATAAGCATGGCACACCGTCTAATGACACTTTCATCAAAATGGTGGTCATTTTTTGTGTGTTATCTTACGATTGGCTGTTCGATAGGATTTGCTACGCTTTGGCATTGCTGTTGTCTAGTTGTCTCTGATTGGTTCAGGTCTCATAAAAATATTACCTTGACCTCAAGGAGTAATATTACAGTAATTTTTTTAACATAATAAGTTGTAGGCACTATCATATAGTCAGGTTCAAAACAAAATATATCAGTCTCTATATATCAGACCTCTTAGACTTCCACCAACACAAACATCAGTTCTGACCTCGCGAACTATGTTCCTTGCACCATGATTCTTGCATCGCGAACATGAAATCCTTAGTCGTGCACCACCGTTTCCTCGCTCCCAAACATATTTCTCCACTCGCGCACAGAGATCCGTGCTCGCGAACCACACACCTGATCGAAAAAAAGTCCGTAATTTTATTCATATTATTACACATACCGTATTATCTCTATTAAACGCACACTCTCTAATAAACGCACACCCGACTTTTTGTTCCAGGTTAGAAAGTCCTGTCCAGATAATATTGAGATCTGACGAAGCTCTAATAAAAAAAACATTGTGGGCGATAATTGAGTATTTTCACCGTTCGTTAAAATAATGCATCATTATTCATGACGTCACGATTTCCCATCATGCAACGTAAGAAATTTCTTCAGGTGTTGGTGTATTTTTATTGTATTTTGTTTACCACCAATGAAGGTGAGCAATACCTCTTGGGTATGTCCCGTATATATACGGTCGTAATTTACGTAATTAACATGGAAGATAGACCCAGAAACCCCTTCTTGAAGGAGCCCTGTGTTCTTTTATGTGCACTTATACATAGACATACAAGTACACACCACAGCCTTTTGTACGAGTTGCGGACCACTCAGTCAAACACCCTGAAGTACTTCACGCAAACAAGCAAATTTAGTCTTGCCTGAACCGGGGATCGAATGCGGGACCTATTGCGTAAGAGGTACCTGCGCTACCACTGAGCTACAGGGGTGTAAATAACACACAATAGTGTATTTATATACTAAATTTGTCGTCTAGGAGCTCACAATTCAAGGTAAAAACATAACATATAGCATATTCTCTCTAATAAACGCACATATCTACTATATTTGATCGATTTAAGGTATAGAAGTAAATTTTCACCCATTATCGCCCACCATCATAATTTTTTAGAATTCCCGGGATTTAGCTGCTTGAAACCTCTCCCCCCTCAAGTCCATATAACTCGGAATCCCAAATACCTGAATACACTATGTACAAATTGTTCACGAGCAGTGATCTCTGTGCGCGAGTGGAGAAATATCTTCAGGAGCGAGGAAACGAATGATGGTGCGCAACATTAGATTTCACATTCATGATTTGAGAATCATGATTCCAGTACAAGGGACGTAGTTTGCGATGTCAGAACTAATCTTTGCATTGGTGGAAGTCTAGGAGGCCTGTATATTGTAGAACTCATGTTTCTATTTGTCTAGTTGATTGATCATTTTTTTATAGATTAGGATCTTGATCAATGAAAAGATTCTTTTATCTTAAAGCCAAGCCTCTAAAGGTATCATTGTTAAGTTGATTGGTACTAGCCTCGAAATTGATATCTTGTTTACTGCCTATGATACAACCTTAAATGCCTTCATTGACGTGCTACATGCTTTATATACAGTAGATACTTTCAGAAGTGTCCAGATACAAGGATCTATGGTTCAATCAATGTGTCAAAAAACAGTGTCGATTGTACCAGAAGATTTATGAAGATTTAACTTGATTGAATGAGAAGGTAGATCAGGGTGGATTTTATGTCCCCTTTGGGTAAAGCACATAAAAGTTGAACACTGCCTAATTAATTTGAAAGCCTACTCAACAATTTGGTTTGATTAACCATTAATTGTTAAGACCTGGATATGGTTGGTTTCTTTTACAAAGCACTTTGCATGAAGTAGTTAACCTAAATATTTAACTGATCCATACATCTTCTTTTAATATAAATTATGAAGACATTTTATTTTATTTTGATTGTAATTTGTTGGTGGGATAGGTAGAAAATATGGGATTAAGTGCTTTGGAAAGGGATATATATGTTTTTGAGTATCGTTTTCATCGGTACATTTACGACACAATGTCTTAACTCTTTGATTTACACATATTTGAACGTAATGTTATATCACTTTTACCTTTGTTTAATTGAGTTTTATATCAAATCTATAATGGGTGATATAAATTTACGATAATTTACAATAAAACTAAAAGTTATCTTGCGTCATGTTTCTTGAGTAAATACGTTTTGCTGTTCAAAGCGTTTCATGGCAAATGTCACGTAGTCTTGTAGGGCATTTGGTGCTTGTAGTAGTATTGCTATTCTGCCCTTTGACATTTCATTTACTTATGGCCTAGTCACATAGCCCGGCCGATGAGGTTACGATGAGCCAGCGATGCAATTTTCACCGAACACCGGCCGGACATCCGTGACGTTTGTTGCTTAAAACCGCATCGGTGGTAGCTCGGTGAAATTTTAACTTCGGAGTTAAATTTCACCGGGCTCTCACCGAGCTCCCTCATCATGTCATCGCAGCCCCATCGTAACCACATCGGAAAACACGTCGGCCGGTGCACGGCCGAGTATCGGCCGGTGTCCCGTGCATCTGAGACAACCAGAGGACGAGGTTTTTTAACGGACAGCGGCCGAGCTCCGGCCGATGTGGGACTGAGCATCGGCCGGTCACTGTTCAAAGCCCGTTAACAACCCGGCCGGTGATCGCACGGTGTCCTGTTACCTGCTCGGGTACCAGCCGTATTCCTTCCGATGTCCGGCCGACCTCCGGCCGGTAGTTGCTGCCACATCGGCAGAAAAAAACTACCATTTTGAGACAGACTCTGTACTGTCACCGGCCGGTGTTCGGTCGGTCACCTGAAGATGTCCGGACGGAGTCCGTTCACGTCACCGAGCTCTGCTTCCGATGAGGAGAGCTCGGTGGCACCAAAAAAATCCACCGAGCTCTACCGATGCCGGACATCGGCCGGGCTATGTGACTAGGCCATTACATTGTAATTTGAAAGACTGCTAGAGTTATGTTCATTCACAATTATAGTAAATTA